TTTAAATGTCACAGTATGGTATATGTAATGTTGTTAAAATGCAATCTCATTCGATTACCAACACACCATCCTGCACAACGTACCTACATAAAAAAATTCAATGGCAACAAGACGACCAAGAAAGACCTGGATAGATGGAGTCAGGGAAACACGAACAACTCTTGGCATCCCCCTGACCCAACAAGCTCTCTGGCTGGTGGCAGAGAGACGTCTCTCTCTTCCCGCGTAGAAGTGGCGGATAAAAGTAAAGTAAAGTAAGTTTTAAAAAATGCAACTCATTTTGTCCTGTTGCAACCAATTCCCCACCACTGTAGATTTAACCTACCTGTAACAATAGGAAGAGTTGTGTTTTCTTTTAACATTTGTATAAACATGTCGGTAACAGGTTGAAACATATCTGTGTAGTTGCTGATGAATCCTGCAAAACAGATAAAAGAGAGAATGTCTGAACTTTTTTTAAAAATGACCTTATGCAGTTGTGAATGCCTCCTAAAACAAAAACACAATTTAAAGAACAAAAAAATGAAATCAAGTTACGTCATACAGTGGTCTCTGGCTGATGATAGCACACCAATTAAAAACATGATCCACCTACAGCATGCCTGCAGCGTGGAACCTAATTTTGTCATATAATTATCCCTTATAAATGCACAGACCATAAATATGAACAACTCTGTCTAATAGCATAATCATTCCTGCGCTAATGCCAGAAACCGATCAGCCATAAAATTATGACTCACTTCACTTGGAACTGATGGAAGAGAAGCAAACACCACATGCCCACCTTTATTACATGCCATAGAAATTGGGGTTTTGCCCGCCAGAAAAATACATATAGAGACAAGGTGTGAGACAGAATTGTGCAATTAGGAGGCCCAGTGACCGCCCAGGCATGACGGGTGGAGAGTGTGAGTGGGCTATAGGGCCTACTGTATTTATGAGGGTTTCAGTTTGTGATTGCTTGGCAATATATGAAAATTTCACTCCTCGGACCGTGCTGAGCTTAATGATGCAGCCCACTACAGGAGATCAGACGCTATGTGGTTCACTACAATCAGTAAAATTCTTTACTCTAGATTATCCCCTTTAAAATTCCCAAGGTGTGTGTTATCAAGCCAGTGACCACTGTATATTATGGTTTTTAGATTGAGTGAGGGGAAGGAAAACATAGGACTGGAGGAAGAGAGAGAGAGAGAGAGAGAGAGAGAGAGTCAGAAAGA